CTACTTTTCTAAAAGAACTGTAGAATTTACTAGGAAAGGGACTATTGAGATCAGTCAGGTAGCTTGGCCTTGCCCTCAGAGCGCTTGCTAATTTGCCGCTGTGGACAGGGAGTGCAGTGGAGCATGGCCCAAGTGCTTGGGCCCTGCACCCCATGGAAGACCAGGATAAGTACCTGGCTCCTGCCATCGGATCGGCGCGGTGCGCTGGTTGCAGCGCGCCGGCCGCGCCGGCCATTGGAGGGTGAACCAACGGCAAAAGGAAGACCTTTGTCTCTGTCTCTCTCTCACTGTCCACTCCTGCCTGTCAAAAAAAGAAAGAAAAGAAAAAAAGAAATTCAAGATGCTCAGAGCCACCAGTTCTCTGACTAATTCTTGGGACAAAATGCTCATGAATCCAAGGAACTTAGGAAGTCCTTCATTGTCCTGCCTTGCAGGCTCTTCTGCCCCAGACTGACGCCTCCTGGTAGGATTAAGGCAATTCTGCTTCTATAGATTCAAATTAACGTCCGTTCTCCAGAAGTAGGAATCTCAACCCAGAGCAGAGTGGCTGAGAGTCAAGACCCCTCAGCAGCATTCAAAAAAATGTATCAGCACCGTGTGGTGACCTCTGCATTTTACTCTGCTTCAAATCGTCCCATGATGCTGCATTGGAGTCTCTGTGAATACAGAGGTGGACCGACTAGACCAGTGCAGGCTTTTATCGGAGCGTGGTCTCTGGGCAGACGGGCTAAGGTCTTCAACAAGGCATTTGCCAGGTTCGCCTGCACCCCTGCAGCAGACTTTGCTGTCTGAGCAGGAATCCAGTCCCTTCGCCCTGGAATGCGCTGAGGGTTTGTTAGGTTGGTGAGCTCTCCTCGTGGCTTCCCTTTCTTCTCTGTGTGTAAACGACTGTGTGATTTTTTTTCTTAATGTTTTTATCGATGTCAAGATGTTGGTACAAAAACAAGACTAACAGTGTGTGATTTGGGCTCCTGGTTTCCCACATCTCCCAGCTCCCTGAACAGCTGGCATGGCTAGAGGACTGTTTATTCCATGGCTTATTTCCCCTTTATCTTTGATGTCCCAGGATGTCAAAGGTTGTAAATTTAATATTGATTTTATAAAGTAGTTTTACTCTAACATGTCAGTTATGATTAACTTCAACCTGGAAGAGGCTCAGCCACTGGTCTGGATTTGCACGCGATGTGGCTCCCCAGCCCTCAGACTCTCTGAGTGAATGCTTTATTTATTAGAGTATGCACTGGTTTGTCAAGGCCAGCACAGCCCCTGGCCCCCAGCCCCCAGCTCTTTCTCTGCTCTGAGCCTCCAGCACCTGGGCCCTTACATTAAGCCTGAAAACCTAAGTAGATCAGAGAGACATATCATTTTCCGGCATGTCAACAGACAGAAGAGTTTATAGATCACTTTATACCCCAGTGGATAGAGCCAGAGAGAGAGAGGAATGAGAAGTCTTACTTGGGATTCAACCCCTCCCTCCTTCAGGCTCCCGGTACCCTCGTGTTCCACTGCAAGGATGGGGGCTGTTGCTGTAATAACGGTGATAAAAGCTGACATTTATTGAACTCTTTCTATGTGTTGGCCACTTAATAAGCGTCAGACTCAATACTAAGGGCTTTCATTCAATCCTCACATCAGTTCTATGAAGAGAGTACTCATTATTAACATTAGTTATTATTATTACTCTCATTTTACAGTTGAATGAACCAAGGAATACCCAGGATCACACTGCTGCAATTTTTTAGCTGTCTCTTTTATATAAATATATATACATATATGTATATATAATTTATTTTTCCTCCCAAAGAGACCTTTTATTTAAGGAATACAAACTTCATGCATTTCATAAGTACAACTTTAGGAATATAGTGATTCTTCCCAACCAACCTCCTCCTCCTTCTCCCTTTCCCAGTCCCATTCTCCACTAAGATTCATTTTCAATTATCTTTATGCACATAAGACCAACTCTATAATAAGTAAAGAGTCCAACAATTTGCACACACACACACAAAAAAAACTGTTCCTCAACAGTTAAGACAAGGGCTGTTCAAAGTCATTGCATCTTGAAGTTAATTTCACTTTTTTTTTTTTAGAAACTTAATTAACTTGAAAGAAGCACCCAAGAATGATACATCTTTTGCAAGCACTTAGACATAATTATAATACAACCCCTTGAGGTCAGAGGTCCTGCATGGGAAGTAAGTGCACAGTTGACTCCTGTTGTTAATTTAACAATTAACATTCTTATGTATGACATCAGTGATCACCTGAGGTTCCTGACATGAGCTGCCTAGGCTATGGAATCCTTTTGAATCCACAAACTCTGTCAGTATTTAGACAAGGCCATAAGCAAAGTGGAAGTTCTCTCCTCCCTTCAGAGAAAAGTACCTCCTTCTTTGATGACCACTTCTTTCCACTGGGGTCTCACCCAGCAAGGTCCTCCACAGTGTCTTAGCTTTCCATGCCTGAAATGCTCTCCTGGGCTTTTCAGCCAGACCAGAATGCCTTAAGGGCTGATTCTGGGGTCATGGTGCTACTTAAAGTGATTGTTATTCTATGAGTCAGCTCTATGGACTCCTTCCCATGTTGGAGCATTCACTCCTTTTTAATTCTATCTATTAATGTTACCAGACACTTAATCCTATCCATATGATCACTTTAGCAGTTAAGATGGTATTTTTACCACCCAGCTTAAGGGGATTTGGGGCCCCATGGCAAGTTTTTAAATTGTACCCTTAGAAGTAAGTCTGTAGGAATGTATGCAGAACTACACAGATTTACTGTCACAAATTTCATACACTTCATAATTACAACTTTAGGAACATGGTGATTCTTTCCACAGTGCTCCCCCTCCCACCCATACTCCCACCCCTTTTCCTCCTCCCTCTTTTATTCCTACTCTTATTTTTTACATTGCAATTTAAAAAAAAAGTTTATACAAGTGGCCAGCATTTTGGCACAGCAGTTGAAGCTGTTGCTGACAAGCGTTAGCATCCCTTAATGGAGTGCTGCTTGGAGTCCTAGATGTTCTGCTTCCAATCCAGTTTTCTGCTACTGTGCCTGAGGAGAAAGTAGAGACAGCCCAAGTGTTTAGGCCCCTTCCACCCATGCAGTAGACCTGGATGGAGTGTCTGGCTCTGACTTCAGCCTGGCCCAGGCCTGCTATTGTGGTCATTTAGGGAGTGACCCACCAAATGGAAGATCTCTCTCTCTCTCCCCCTCTGTCTGATGCTCTGCCTTTCAAATCTTTTTTAAAAAAATTTATGAGAGAGAGAGAGAAAGAAAAGAAGATAGAGCCTGCTATAGCTGGGGACAGAGCCAGGAGCTTGGAACTCAATTTGGGACTCCCACATGGGTGGCAGGGACCCAACCATAGAAGTCATACCTGCTGCCTGCTAAAATCACACCAGTAGGAAGCTGGATCAGAAATAGAATAACCAGGACTTGAACTAGGTATTCCAACATGGGATGTGGGTTCCCCAAGAGGCGGCTTAATCTGCTGTGCCACAACACCTGCCTCTGCTGCAACTTTTAAAGCTGAAATTCAACTGTGGGCCAACTGACCCCTACAATCCACATCCCAGTCCCCAGTACCATAAGTGCTTTGTCAGAAATTTGGGAAATTATGTTTTTGTGTAACCATGCTGAGATGACATATTTGGCTTAACACTCTCTAAAGCTGTATCTTTTGACACAAACTGGAATGTATCCCCAAATTCCATTTTATTTCTGAAAAGGAAGGCAGCTAGTGTGTTTACCCTGTGCCATTGCTCATCTCTCTTTCCTCATCGCTTCGAACAATTCCCCTAGGATGATGAGGTTCAGGATGCTCACTACTTTGTGGCAGGTGACTCTTCCTGAGGCCATGTGCTGCAAAGGGGCCACAGCTTTCTCAGCTTGGGAAATCACAGCTCACTCTACAAGGGGGCTCCCAAAGTTTTAAAGGAAATGAATATTATGAAAATGTTTTACACCACAATACGTGTGTTACTTCATTTCACTTTTCCATGAATTGTTCGAAGAACTCTCGTATTTTAACATTGCAAGGCTAATACAAAGGGAGCTTGATAGAATTTCTGTTATGCATTTCATTTCCCAGGTCAAGTATATTGCTGGAGTTCACCTTTATCTCCACTTCTCCCTCCAGCTGCACTAGCCCAGGCAATGAGTCTGTCTGGGATTGCTTTTCCTGATATTTCCTTTTCCCCATCTCCCTGTATCTTTACAGTAGGAGAAAGGATGGATTAAAGCAGATTAAAGATTATTAAAGATTGACAAAACTCCCAATGAGAGATAGAGAGTCTCTCTCCCATCCATGGGTGAATTCTATACTGCTCTGACTAACAGAATACAGTGGAAGTAATTCTGAGACCATTTTTGGACCCAGACCTTGAGAGACTGGCAACATCCACTTCTACTTGCAGGCCACACATAAGTCTGACTACCCTGATGGAGAGACCATAGAATGAGGGTCTGTGGTTATAGGGAAAAGGAGGGGGGCCCAGCTGAGCATGCCAAGGAACCAGACACATGAGTAATGCTTTCTGGTCTGCAGACCAGACCAAACATGAGGCAAATGGCACAGAGGGATCCCAATTAAAGCACAAGGAACAGAATTGTGTGAGTTCCTGACCCATAAACCTGGCATCTAATAGAATCGTGGTTGTTTTATTGTAGTGAGCTACCTGGCAGTATTTTGCAGATATAGGTTCATAGGTCCCTGGGCTGGATCATTTCAGCATTGAAGGCCCCTGGACTTTAGGTGTGCATGCGCAGGTATACCACTCCTCTGTCTAGCCCAACTCAATGCATGTAAGCATGTGAAAGAGTAGGCTGCCTTCTCCAAAGAGCTGTTAATTTTTAGACCATTCTGCAAGACAATCACTAGTGTGCTATCCTGTGGAGCAAGTCTTCGCAACTGATTACACATTGTTAATGAAAGATTAATCCGTTAGTAGATGAGTATCTCACAATTCATAGACCAGTTGGAATCTGGGCCTAAGCTAAGTACACTGAGCCCACGCTTTGCTTTTCTCTTTAATTTCCTCAGTTACATATTTGCAAAAGTCAGAAGGTAAATCTCTTGACTTCTGTAGAAACACACAGACAACCCTGCTCCCAGACTGATCAGGAAATGGCTAATCATCGCGGAGAAAGACGTAAAGGTATGCTCTTACAGTTAATAATTTCTAAATATAGGTTCATTCTTCTATTTAATTTAATGTATTTTTAATGTGGTTCATTCTTCTATTTAATTTAATGTATTTTTAATGTATACTCTATTTAAGTGGCTGTGAGAAAACAGTATATTTTGGAAACATAATGCAGTTTTTGTTATTCACACTTTGTCAGTCCATAATGTATTTTTGTGGAAATGAGAAAAATAAAAAAATAACCCAAGAGAGAAATAACAGATTTGAGATCACTGTCTTAATAGAAAACACCTAGGCTTTAGAGATTTGCACTTTGATTGACAGACTGACCACATACTGGATGTGTGATTTGTGTTCAGTGTCTTCAATAACATTCCTTTAAAAATAAAGACTGGGAGTGGCATTTGGCAAAACAGTAAAGAAGCTGCTTGGATCTCTGCATCCCATATTGGAGTGGGTGGGATCAAGTCCCAGCTCCACTCTGATTCTACCTTCCTGCTGGTGCATACCCTAAGAGGTAGTACCTGGTGGCTCAGGTGCTTGGGCCCCTGCCACCCACGTGGGAGACCTGGAAGAAGCTTTTGGCTCCTGGCTCTGGCCTGGCCCAACCCGGGATTGATGCTGCCATCTGGGGAGTGAACCAGCAGATGCAAGGTCTCCCTGTCTCCCCCTCTTGCTGTAACTCTGACTTTCAAATAAAAACAAATAAATCTTTTTAAAAGAAAACATATAAATAAAAGTAAAAGGTGAATATCCTTAAGAGCCAGGCACTGTGCTATAAACACTGAGAAAAAAGCACACAGCTCAACTGCTGTCTCCCTTATGTCTCTGAGCCTTACTTTTCTCCGAAGTAAAATACCCAACCCCAGGGGATGCTCTGTGAAGAGCACGTGCTATAGAGCTGGTGTTTAAGACAAAGGTTGACTATTAAAGACAGAGTCACAGCAAAGTGCCAGAGCTTGTCCCTTTCCATAAAAACAATGGATCCCAGTATAGGAAAAGCCAGGGAACAAATGGTACTCTCTGTATCACATGCTCCATTTTCTTTCATTCAGCTTTTTCCTCCAGTCACTGCTGTGGCATCCAGCCCAGCACAGCTGCAGCTGCCCATGCCTGCCTTGAGGGCACCAAGCTTAGGCCCAGATTCCAACTGGTCTATGAATTGTGAGACACTCATCTACTAAAGGATTAATCCTTCATTAACAATGTGTAATCAGTTGCGAAGACTTGCTCCACAGGATAGCACGCTGGTGATGGTCTTCACCTTCCTCCCAGTTTCTCCACACCCCGTGGGGGCTGGCACATGAACAGCCTGCAGTCACAAGGAGTGACCCACCCATTGGAGCCAATCTTGACCAGTGTGGGATTCCAAACCAGAGGACCAATGCTTCCTCTTTCCATCGCTTGGCCAAAGAGTTAGAAGACTCACTATTTAAGGAATTTCAGACAGGAAGCACCCAGTGGCCTGGAGCAGGGTCCGATTCAGCACAGCGGCCTTTGTGTTCGCCTCCCTGTCTTCTCTGCTCTCCTGCTCCTACTGCCCAGCATCTCTTCCCTGTCTCGGGCTTTTCTGCGGAAGGGAAATCAGGCTGCCCCACCATCTTTAAAGCATCTATATATATTTTTTTTCTTTTTTGACAGGCAGAGTGGACAGTGAGAGAGAGAGACAGAGAGAAAGGTCTTCCTTTGCCGTTGGTTCACCCTCCAATGGCCACCGCGGCCGGCGCGCTGCGGCAGGCGCATCACGCTGATCCGATGGCAGGAGCCAGGTGTTTCTTCTGGTCTCCCATGCGGGTGCAGGGCCCAAGCACTTGGCCATCCTCCACTGCACTCCCGGGCCACAGCAGAGAGCTGGCCTGGAAGAGGGGCAACTGGGACAGAATCCGGCTCCCCGACCGGGACTAGAACCCGGTGTGCCGGCGCCACAAGGCGGAGGATTAGCCTACTGAGACACGGCGCCGGCCAAGCATCTATATTAAGCAGTCAGAATTTTGTTGTTGCGGGAGTACATAGAATTGGCCGTATACAATATAAAATCCAACCATTAAAGAGTGAAGTCAATCAATGCAGCTGACTTAAGAGATTTCCATGACATATTGTTGGGTAAGAAAAGACAGAATCAGAGAAGTGTGTATAATAAAAGTGTGTATAATAAAAATGAAAACAAAAAAGCCCTATATCTTATATGCTAATTTGTCAATTTGTATGTGTATGTGGATATGCATTTCTTCTTTAATTGTATATATAGGCTTAAAAGCATACATTTTAAAATTTATCTAAAAATGTGGTTGAGGGTAAGGGAATGGAGGGGAGGAAGTTAGAAGAATAAAAAGTTCTCAAAAAGAAACAAAATACATATGGCATGACAATGTGATTCCATTCATGTACAACTATACATATGAGAACATGAATGCATGCCCATGAAAGGTGTGTGAAGCAGAGTGACCAAACACTAACGGTCATCATCACTGCGGTGTGCCTTTCAGGTCGGCTTTTAATTTTTTCCTTACACTTGTCTTGCTTTAAGTTTTGCAATAAGCACAGGTTAATTACATAATCAGAAAGACAATGAAGCAATGATTACACAAACAAAACACAAAATGATGGTTAAGAACTCACTGGCAACTCCAGCTTTCTGCCAATGCGGCCCCTGGGAGGCAGCAGGAAATGGCGCAAGTACTTAGGTTCATGCCATCCATGTGGGAGATCCTGATGGGGTCACCAGCTCCTCACGGTGGCACCAACCAGGAGCCCTGGTGGTCAAGTGGGGAATGATCCAGTAGACGGGAGCTCTTGCTCTTTATCAGTCTTTCTCTCTCTGTCTCTTAAGTAAATAAGATATTTTTTAAAAGGAAAAGATCTGTAATCAATACACAGTTATTCTTAAGTGTTGAAACTTAACTGAAAAGTGATCGCTGTTACCTTTATATATAAAATGGAGACAATAAAAGCATAGTACTTAATTCACTGTTGAAAACATTAAATGGGAAATATAAGCAAAGCTTACAGAACAGTCCCTGACATATAGTAAATATATACGAAGTTAACTATTATAATTTTTTATCATTGCTTATAAGATGGAAAGCAGTGAAGTGTTTAGATGCTACAATGTTCAGTTGGGTAGGGGAAGAACGTAAGTCTCACTGTAGTCATGCCCTGGGCAACCCTTCATGCACAGCCATGGTACTCCTGGAGGCAAGGCAGCAAGGAAAGAAACAAACAAACAAACACAAAAACACAGAAGCAGAAGAAAGGGAGGAAAAAGAAGGGGCCTGGAGAGGAAGAAAAAAGAGAAATTGAACAATCCCAAAGGCTTCCCTTGGACATCATGGGACAGGGGAGATCTGGCAAATGCCCCCTGCCCCACAATGTCCCACCCTACAGGGGGATTCTCTTCCCAGCTTTCTGATCAGAACAATCTTTAAGAAGTATGCAAGTTCACGATGATGATCTATTTTTTTCTTAACTGAGATGCAACTGTTAGTACAGTACATTTTTGCTGACATTCATGTCACATTTCCTAGATACCAGATTAAAAAATACTTTTAATTAGTTATAAATGAGAATGTACACACAACAAGTCTGAGACTGCGTCTTCATCAAAGTTTGCTTCAAGTCCCATACATGTGACTTTAGTGCCAATTCTTATTAACTGTGCAATGCAGTGGGCTGACACCCATGACACATTTCCCCAAATCCAGTCACAAAACTACTTCTAATTAGCTATAAATGAGAATGTACACACAACATTTCCAGTAGCCACTCTGTTCCTATCAAAGTTCACATCACAGAAAACTTAAACTGTTACCACTGAGCTGCCCAGCTGCAATTCCAACAACTCCGATTTCAGAAATGCTTAGAAAAGTGACTCTTTAGATCTTGCTAGGTAAACAGATCTGAGGTAGATTCATTTCAACCCAAGCCCTTTATTTGATAGACATGCACTCATGAGCCCAACTAAAATGCATACCATAGCCCTTTCAAAGCCCATGATAAAATTACTTGGTTAAATATTTTGGCTAGATGTCCTGTTTCCAGAGGCCTGGGCTTTGAATTCTGCAGCTTCTGCATTTGCATGTGGTGATCGGGGCAGGATTGAATGGCACCACATCTGCCAACCTCCATAAGAACCAAGCCCCACAGGGGAGGCCCCAGGGACCCATCGTGACACTGTGAGCCATGCTGACTGAGGACTCCGGGCCTCAATTACCGCCTTCAACTCCCCAGGCCTTTAACGTCCTTCAGGAGTGCTGGCTTTAAACACCTCAAGATAATCACAGATCATAAAGTACCTCCCGTGGTTCAAAGTGTGGAGTTTATTAAATCATCTTAGTTCAGAATAATTCAGACACTCTGCAAACTCCAGGTTGTGCAGCATTCTGACCTGGTCTTCGATCTGTGCAATCTCTCCTTCATTTTGTAACAGGCTCTGTCTTCTGTTGCTCAATGCAAATAGCAATCCTCTGCAAGTCATAAGGCCACAACTTGTGCATGGTGCAGGCCCGTAAAAGTAGAGCTTTATGATAGGGGAGGAAAAGAAGTTTTCAACTTTGCTTACTTTCCCTGCCTTTAAAAACTCATTAAATGGGATTCTGCCTTTTACTTGCCGAAGTGTTTAAAACCCTTTTTAATGAAAAATTCTAATCCTATATAATCACACCATAAGTACTTTCTTTCTGTTCAACGAGGAAACAGTGCTAAATTTTAATGCATACCACTGGCAGGCTATAATAAAAGTATTCAGTTGGTTTTAAATCCGATTAGTTTAACTGTTACAGATTAGGAAAAAATCCCAAGTGATTGCAGCAAGTCACCCATTCAAGGGACCTAACTTAGGGCTCTGATCATGCTGGACCCCAAGGGAACATCAACACTTTTGGATCCTGTTGGCCCCGAATGTATTCAAACGCTAATTAAAGCAAGGACCTGCCCTAGGTATTGCAGGGATGTAAAGGAAGATAAGCTTGTGGGGTGGCGCAGTGGCATAGCAGGTAAAGCTGCAACTTGCAGTG